TTCTTAGTAACATGTATGGAACAGCTTTAATTGAATAATAAAGTGCTATGTATTAGTAGATTATTTCATTAAAATTTCAATTTAATATTTTGTGATTATGTAAAAAATTGATTTATAAAATAATTTAAATACAATTCTTTTGTCTACAATCAAAAAATTCGTGAAAAATTCAGACAAAGGGAGTTGCTTTTAAACAGCCGTATTATCATAAATTTTCTAAGAAAAGGAAAAAACCAATTGTCTAAACCATGTGGACTTTATGTAAAATTGAATTAAATTTTTCCATCGGATTTTTAAGAAATGGTTTAACTACATTTTCTCGAAAAAAATAAAAAAGTGATTTTTGTAAACTTGATAATTATTTCTTCTAATTATGTAGGTAAGTTGAATATAATTAGAGAACCAGAACAGGATTTAGGATTAGAATAGTATACTATTGTAACATTACTAGTGTTTTTTATGTATTTTTGAAATATTGTAGAAATTATGATATGGAAAAAATGCCTTTTAGACATAAAATAATTCATTCTCGCTTATAGTATTCCATTTTCCAACACTAGGTAGATATTAATCTAATTTTTCTTCTTCAGTTTTTACTCAAAATATGATACATGACAATTTTTTCTCGAGAATCTGTATTGATATTCATTCGTGATCTCTATAAATACTAGTAGTTAGATTAGTGTCCATAATAACCAATTGTTTTAAGAATTTTTATTTACATTAGGAATTTCTGTCAACTATTAATATTAAAAAAAAAATACGTTTTATAACTGATATTTCTAATAATTCGGTATTTCAAACATTGTAATAAATGTTACAAGGAACAACTTAAATATATGAGATATTTAATTTATGCAAAAAAAAAAAATATTAAAGGGTATCAAAGTAGAAAATTTAATTAAATGTAATAGTAACATTGCAGGAAAATAAACAATTATTTTCTAATAGTACTTCTTTAAAAGTAAAAATAGTTATTTTAAACTCAAGAGGGCGAAACATAGCCTTTTCCCGAATACTACATCAATAACGGCACAGTTGGTCTTGCATTGAAAGCATTGAAGATGCTGAAACTGTCCATGTAATAATCATTTTTTAATTGCGTTCTAGATCTTTAAAGTTCTATTTGTTATTTTAATAATGTGCAATAAAATATTTTTTAATTCAATGCATAAAAAAAGTAATTTTTTTTTTGTATTCTTTCAGTTATTTTAGAAAAAGTAAGCATTTTTCTATACACGAAAATGTTTACAAAACATTTAGAAAAATTAAAATAAAGCATTATTATTAGAAGCAACAGCTTGCTAAATGGTAGCCTGGTCACACTGTACTTACAGTCTACAATTACAAAATTTACTCATAAATTTAGTTTTTAAAATATCATCATCAATCATTTTTACAGACTCATTTAGAATTATAAATATATATAACAATAAGTGGTCCTATACATTTTTCTAGGGAGGATATTTTTCATAAATTTTGATGAGTCAGCACTTTTTTTAATTGACGAATATTTTTTTGTTGTAAAATTTTTTAACTACAAAAAATATTTAAAAATAGATTTTTTCTGATTAGTTTGTATGAAAACTAACTATTCAAATTATAAACATTGTGCTTTTATTTTTATTATCAAGATCCTTCAGGTTTAAAATAAAGTAACTCATTTTTTTTTTTTATTCTTATTTCATATAAACGGTTGCATTAAATTGCAATTTATTTTTGTTGAGCGTGTAATTTTAGTTGGAGCCTATGTATACAACTGAAAAATTACAAATTAAAGCATAAATTTATTAATTTTTCATATTTTTATAAATGTATGAATTACACATTTTTATTTAAATAATATTTATTTTTGCTTTATAAAAATTAAGTCAAAAATTATTTGGAGAATACTTTTTATTTTTTAAAGAAAATTAGCATTATAGTACAATTATTTTAAAGGAACCGGTCTTTAATTATTAATTTAAGACCACATGAGGCACAATTACTAAATGAGGCACAAGCCAACGTGTTAAAAAAATATTAACGTGCGCACGTCTATGGACGTGTATGACAACATGAATTCAGAATAAAACGAACAAAAACCATGTATCTTAATAGTTCGTTTGGTAAGGCGTTTTGTATAGGCAACTTAACCATCAATTTTTCTTGTGAACTACATTCAATAACCGACACTGCGGTCACCGGAAAAATATTTAAAAAAACAGTACCCGGGAATCAGAAAGAATGCTTTGTTCTTGTAAGACCATGGCGCAGTGTAATAATTGTCGAACGATACTTACAAATTCTATCAAAATACAGTACCAAGAGCTTAGAATAGTATTTATGTTATTCTTCATGGTTGTAACTGTGCGACGGCCGCGGTGCAATGACGATGTGGTATCCTGTCTAGTGATAATTAAGACAGCCTGACGTATTCGTTGGGACGATCTCAGAAATCTACAGATAATATAGAACCACAATCTTTGTATGACAAAAATAAAACATTTCAAATGTTTTTAACAAGATCAGAATTAGAGATTTATCTACAAGTAATGTATACAGCTATGTAAGGTATGCTGTTTGCATCCGACATATTCGGCTAATATTTCGGGAGTAACTTATATTTGGCGTCGCTTATAAACTAACTAACACTTATTTTATAAACTACTTAAATATGTATGTATCTGTTTATAAAAAAAAATTTAACACCCCTTTAAATTATAAGATATGATTTAACACGGCCGCCGGGGATTGACGGCCGGTTATAGAAAGTGTACCGGGAAACCATGTGAAAAAAAGAGGCACGGTACGGGATTAGAACCCGCGACCCAAGGCGTCGTATAGACAAACCTTACCACTAGGCCACCGTGCACTTATGATTCAGATCCCGATACACTTTCATTTAGGTTGATAACGTGATGTGCGGCTGAGGGAAACACGGTACCGTGTCAGATTCTAAAAAGTAATCAGTAGCTAATATATAAATGAAATATATAAAACTGAAAAACAAACAATTTTTTATATTATATTTATTTTGCGAATAATTAAGTGGTTAATAATAAATGGATCATGTATATTTATTATTTTTCATATTAGATATAATACCTATATGACATATTCAAATCCGAATATCAAATAATATCAACATAAAATATATTCAGAATTTTTAATATTCGAATTTTTCAAATTTACTGATTCGGTCCATTACTAATTTATATCCAGTTAGTTAAGTTTAAGTATATTAAGTATATTTTCAAGTATTTTACTTTAAAAAATACACTATTTTTAATCCGAAGAAGTGGTGATAACAAATATATATCCGGCAAATGCCTATATATATTTGCTCATCGAATACGAATTACTCATAACTATCATTATTAGCTGTTTGGGTTGGGTTGAATATTATTAGCCAATTGACTATTCTCATACGTATTTACCTATATAAATTTAGGGTAAAAAGCAGTTATAAAATATACTACTGTCAAATGGACTAACATGAGGCGACGACGGTTGAATTTGGGTCCAGTTAAGTATTTTACAGATTTCATAATTCAATTTTTATGAAAAAATATTTTTTGTTTCTTATGATTACTCATAAACATTTTACTAATGTTGCAGATTAGTACGACTAAATTGATAATACATATTTAACTATCCCAAGTTTAACCATCACGTTGGCCCCATTTGACGGTAGCTAACACTTATAAAAATTAGCAATTTTATGATTTCTTCAAAAATAGCAATAACTGTTTTTCTAACTGCTACTTCAAAATAGTAATAGCATAAGTGGTTTTACTAAAATAAGTAAAATTTTACTACCACTTGTAGTTTGTAATGCTTTATATTTACCAGGATCCAACGTAAATTTTTTTGTTGAATGTTAAAAGGGATTGAAACATAATTTACTATCATAAGAAATTTCTAATATATACAAATGACTACTTTTGCCTTACATAGAATTTTGTAAAATATAACGTTTGAAAAGAATTTATTTTTGTTTTAATAAAAATTGTTTAAGTTATATGTTTTGTTATATTTAATGATATTTTACGTTTATTGATACCATCTATAATTGGTTGATTTATCTTTAGTTAAGCTTTGATAAATTTTTTAGTTTTAAACATAATTATAACAATATTCATAGCGCTTTCTTGTCCTCATATTTGTTATAACGAATTTATAATAATTCTACGATGACTAATACTCTCGCATACGATTAAAGATAATATTCTCTATTTAATAGTAAAAATAAATAAAAGTAGATTCTCAATTAACTTTCAAAAATTACCCCAAAAATCTTCTATTAAAAATAATTTTTTTTTATTATAAACTTGACTTAAATTATCTAAATTTATATAAACTTTTATTATTATATAACTCATAAATTTACCAAAGTTATGAATGTTTAGTAAAATTATAAATATGTTATTCAAATTTTAAGTAATAACTAACGTAATTTTCTTTGAATTTTTAATTACAAAATATTATGTCATAAAGCCAAACTGTCATAATAGTTTATTTAACAATAAACAATTTGTATTTTAACTCTCAGATCAAAAATTAAATTAATGTTTCGCTCATTAATGCACAATATGTTAAAACTAAATCAAGAAATTTGAAATTTGAAATTTAAAGTGGTCCATCAAAAAAACAGTGTGACCAGCTGTGAGAAAGTTGGTATCGAGTATAATCAATTAGAGAACTCAAAGATAAAATAATAAAATGGATATAAAATTCAATTATACTAGTAAAAATAAAGCAATTCAATTTTTCAATTAGTAATGAGATTTATAAATAGATTTAACTTCATTTCATTTTAATATACGAATCTCAAGTCACTTATGATAAATTATCGACGTTGCCTGGTTAACGAAGACGCTGATGGCGTCCTATTCGAATATAGCGCGGACTATCGGCCGAACATGGCAACGTTGCATTACCGTTTACTCTTTGGTGCCCCTCACCGCGCTCCTTATGTATGTCTTCTATCATTGCTCGTTGGTGTTCACCAGCGTCCCTCCACTCTTGTCACCTCATCTCAAACAACACTGTACTGTATACACGCACATAAACACATACACCATCTTAGCCATTTCGTTACTGTCATACTTCATCGTTGTTAAACTTACAACAATTTTTTAATTTTCGTTTTATTGTGTATTGTATTTGTTGTTAATCATTTTTATTCGTGTCTAACCATGTCTGACATTTCTAAAGACACTTTGAAGAAAGAAATTGCAGGTAATTCATTTTTCTACCATCATACTATTAAGCAATAACTATTAATGATCTATATTTTCATAAACAATCCGTTATATGATGATACATATAATTTTTGTTTAATTTTCCTGACTTTAGTTGTGGATTTACTTATTTTGTAATTGCGTACTTTTTATTGAATATTGTTTTAATTTTTATGTCATTGCCGCCTTCAAGTTAAGGCCGGCATATTGTGATTATCGACTACCGCGCCGCATCCCGCGATACCGTTGAATGGCGTCTGTGACAATTGCCTTTTAAAAATAAAACCATTTTCCATATCGTTTTTTGTTTTGTTTAACTACAGATTATTTTCGATTTATTTATTAGCGTAACTATGTTGATTATTAAAAATCTGTGTTCACGCGTATATAATGACGTCCAAATCGTTTTCAACATACTGGGCTAGATAGCGTCCCTCTCTTGTATAAACAAAGAATTCGTAGGTAACCGATCACTGTTACTTAAAAAAAAAATCATATTAAGAAAATTAAGAAATAAATGATATATTTAAGTATGTTAGAAATTTTTGAGTAATTTTGTGATTAACTTTCTAACTATCCAAAATCTGGGAAATCCCTTCAATATGTTTTCCAATACTGTTAATAAACAAATAAATGGTTTTTTTGTTATATTGTTATCTTGCATAAAAATAATAAGATTTCAATCAACCGTTTCATCTTTTGTTACTCTATTAATGACATTTATTGTTATATTATGATATAAAATTTAACACAACAATTCATGTGTTATATCCTCTATAATCTTTATCAATGTGCATTTCTATAAATGTCTCATGCTACTTTTTCAATAACAAAAAATAACCATATTTTACAATCGGAATATTAATTTAAGTTAGGGAACAATCTGTGTTAAATTAAAATGCCTATGTTAGATTTGAGTAATTCCTTACTTATTATGGAGCATTTAACATATACTTTTTTTTTTTCGCACACAGTGGACCAACAGGTCTGAGTGCATGGGCATTATGTCCACTTCGATAATAACTAAAATTAACATATACTTTTAATATAATTATACAGTATTGAAAAAAAAATTGTTTAATTTATTTTGTTTGGTATGAAAATTAATTTTTCTGGTCTCATTTTCTATATATCAGATTATTATTTGTATATTAAAATTGTTTTGGACATCAGATGATTATGCTAACCTGTTTAACAATATTCTTGCAAAACCGTTTTAAGATTGAAAGTCAAATTATAATAAATTTTTCATGTGTTGTATGGGAATATAGTTAGATATATATGTATATTATTCTATAATTTTCCTAAATAAGATGTCTTAGATGTTCCTCATAGTGACTTTATCAAATTAAATTTGTTGAGTTGTTTGATTTATTTGAATCCACTGTTTAAGTAGTTATTACTGTGTATTTGTAAGGTTTTTTGTATACTCAATTGTTACAATATTTATCAATTAATGTTAAAAGAATTATTGACATGAATATTTTAATGATGATAACTACCAAATTATACGATTTCTAGATGAAGAAGTATGAGCTATTAATTAATTATTTAAATTAAGTTAACTTAGATTATTATTATTTTATAGCTCCTTGAATATTTGTCATCTTATTTTATCTTGTCATCTAATGATAATTTTGTGTATTATGTGATTTTTAGCTATCCTTAAAGGTGCTGATTTAACAAAAACATCTGCCAAGAAAATAAGACAAGATCTTGAAAAGAAACTAGATGTTGATCTTGATGACAGGTAAAATTTAATTGATTAATAACAGTCTATTTTTATATAATAAATACCATAATTATTTTAACCAAATAGAAAAAAAGAAATAGATACTATGGTTATGGAGGCTATTAAAAAAGCTAAAGGTTCCAAGAAAAATGGTAAAGCTGAAAGTGATGATGACAATGAGAATGACGAAGAGGATGAAGATGATGATGCTGAAAATGATGACGATGATGATGATGAAGAGGAGGAGGAAGTGAGACCTGCAAAGAAAGCAGCACCAATAAAACGTAAAAAGGCTGATAGCAGTGATGAAAGTGGTTCAGATGATGTAAGTGTCATAATAATAATTTAAAAACATATATAACATTTTTTTTCTTAAGGATGATGGTGATAAGAACGATGGAGACTATAGTCCTAAGAAAGGAACTCCAGCCAAAAAGAAGGCAGCTGCTGGCAAACGTGGTCGTAAGAAGAAGGATGACAGTGATGATAGTGATGAAGACTGGAAAAATTCTAAAAAAGGCGCCAAAAAAGGAGGAGTATGTAATCTATATTTATAATGTATATTATAAATTAATTAATAATATGTTGATTTTTTTAGGCTAAACGTGGAGCCAATAGTGGATACACTAAAAGTATTACTTTAAGTCCTGAACTTGCCTCTTTAATGGGTGCAGAAGCCCTTCCTCGTCATGAAGTTGTTAAAAAAATGTGGGCACTTATCAAAGAAAGAAATCTATATGTATGTTATACTTATTGTTTCTCATAACCAAATTATTCATTTTTTAATATTCCTATTATATATTGTTTGATTTTAGGACCCATCTAACAAGCAATTTGCTATTTGTGATGATGACTTATTTAAAGTAATTGGAGTTAAACGTTTCAGGACGTTTGGTATGATGAAATTTTTAAAAAACCATTTTGTATCATAATTTTTTTTTTAACATAATTGGACAAAAATCCTTTTTTTACTAAAATACCCCTTTTTAAATCCCTCCCTATAATTTCTCTTACCTTGTAATAATGAATACCTTTGTGTTTCTTCATGTACATGTGAAAAATAATATTATTTTTATTTTATAATATAAATTTTTGACTAGCAAGTATTAAAATTTCCATTCCTAGAATAATGTAATAGTAAAAAGGTCTAAACATGTTATTTAGATTTATCTATTTTTTAATGGAATCATGTGGTTTTCATATAATGCACCTTTTTGGCTAATAATAATTAGCTCTTTTAATGTTTGAATGTAAAAACGTTTTTGTAAACAATTATTACGAGCATTTTTGTGTTTTTAGAATACTTTACATTAATTTTAAGAAAACAATCTATATTATAAAAACAATTATAATAAAATAAATTATAATTCTTTAGTTGTGGTTATTTATAATCCTTCAAACTTATTCATCCATTGTTGACTTGGATATAAAATTTTTGGTTTGTGCAATAGATCATCTGTTTCTAAGTATATAGATAAGTTTTTTGTTGTGTTTGTCCCTTTTTCTTTTAAAGTGTTGACTCCAAATTCTGCATAGGATAAGGTCTGTACTTCTATTTCGCTTATTGTTTGAACCCAACGTGTAGTCATTTCTATTATATTTTTCTACAAAAAAATTTTTAAATAATTGTGAGTGATTTAACCATACTTCAATCATGCTTTACATGTTTTAAAGTTTGATGACATTGACAGTTAAATGGTTTGCCATTAGGAAAATCTTCAATTATTTTCGATTCATACTGTATTTTAGCATCTATATACCTTGCTTTTTGATGTTTTGTGTACACCCTTAAAAAAACTTTCATTTATTGTCTATATTATATAATACATTTGTATTTTATTAAAAATAGATAAGTAATTTTATCACAATTTTTTTATTGCATAATAACTAAACATTACTTCACATGAAAAAAATAATAATATTTGTGAAAAATGGACATCTGGTGATAATGATCAAGAAAAATTCGCAAGAAATTATTTTAAATGATGAGGATACTATAAATACAATCTGAAAATATTTTTTTTTACTATTTAATATTTTACATACTGATCTTCAACTAAATAAGGATTTTTTGATATTTCTTCATACATGTGGAAGTATGATAATAAGTGTGTATGACATCTCATTAAGTTGAAAAAACCGTTCACATAACTAAAATAATTCCAATAAAAATTGTTAAAAGTTATTTAGTTTTTAGAAAATCTTTGGATGGTTCAGTAGTGGAATTTAGAAAATGATTTAGTATCTCAATTCTAATTAAATAAATCAATAAGACAAAAAATTGATGTTAATTTGCATTAAAATCTGATTATTTAATTTGCTAACTATCAGTTAACAAGCACTTTAATATACTTTTCCTGTATAGTTTACTATTTTTATTACTATGCAGGCCTAATTCCAAAGTGATATGCTGCCTGAATACAAGTGAATCCAAACCAATTATTATCATAATTTATCAAGCCTATTTGATTGTCATGCTTCATTAATAAACCGTCAGTTTCTACCATCATTACTATACAGTATCCATTAGCCTGTCAAATAAAATGCAAATGTTAAGAACAACAAATAATGAAATATTTTCGATTGTCTTTCAGGTAAATTCTTATAGAAAATTGGGCTTCAAATTTTTTCCAAAACATTTAGTTTTTGAAATAATTACTAATTTGTAATATAATAAATTAAATCATCATAAAAAAAACCAAAAAAATATATTTTTTAAACTTTACTGTCATGATATTACAAAAAAATTAGCAGAATTTGGGGCTCATCCGTCAAGTTTAACTGTTTTTACAGACCATTAATTTATAAATTCATATTAAATTAAAAAATTGACTGATGCACATTTAAAAAAAAGCTGAACATTACATTTATATTTAAGTTAATTTACTTCTTTTTCCTCGCCTTAATCCCAATTATTTGGAGTAGACCAAGTAATTGGTATTAATTATGTTAATTTTCTAATTATAAAATTGTTAACAATAAATAAACAGTAAATAATATTGTAAACAATAAATAGATAATATTTTGAGAAATATTAATTTTTTCATTATATGGCAAATAACTGATAAAACTTCAATAATCTTGACAATTATTTTTTAGCTTCGATACGAAGCTGAGAAAGTATTTTTTTTTACACTAAGTGAATAATTGTAATTTGTAAAATATTTGTAACTTATTCTCTACAATTATTTAGATGACTGATTGTAAACAACTAGAAAAAAATATAAAACCTAATTCGGAATTGACGTTGAAATTCTATAAAAAAAAATCATTGTAAGCAGCAAAGTGGCTGTTGTCCTGTATAGAGTTCAAGTACTTATTCCGGTTACAGTATAAAAATAACATTTTTTAAGGAGTAGGAACTACATCTATAGCACACGTCTTTATAATAATGTTGATTAGAACATTATATGAATTAAGAAGATTTTAAATTTACATAGAATTGTCTCTTATCGGAATACGCTGACGGTGGATACCATGTGCACATAGGATGTAGATTACTTTTTTCTATGATTGCTAATTGACGTTCTTCAATAATGCAAGGAAATAAATCTTGTATTAAAGGTGTTTTATTTACTTCGTGCATCTGAAATAAATCAACATTATTAATTTGTGGGGATAAATAATATATGGCATGTTACCTTATTGTTAATTTTACTAAGCAGCTGTTTCATTTCTAATATTATATTAGTCGTGACGCTTAAATAGTTCATCATAGATACCATTTCATCCCATATCATTGATATAGCAATTAATTCATCCTAGATTGATATTTTATTTTATACATCATGTCTTGAATATTTTTAAACTTTAACTTGCCTTAATACTTGACACATTTGTGATCATAGAGTTTTTAGATTCGGTTTTTATATATTCCATAGTTGTGTTAAATTTATGTAATAATTTAGGTATATCTTCTTTGCAATTAATCAGATCTTTTTTAATCGTCCTATAATAAAATCATTTAAAATTTATGTTATCAATTACAAACTAAAAACGAAAATTTCAGTGACAACAATTGAATGTTGCGAAGGTAAAAGGACACAAGTCTGACTTTTTTGTTCATATTTCATATTCTTATAAATATTTAAAAAACACGCCAATTAAAATATAAAACTATAGATTTTATAATTATTTCTAAACCAACGTTTAAAAAATAAAAGTATTTGAATAATCCAAAAAATAGTAATTTTTTATTCCCTCCAGAAGTTTGTATTTTTGACTAGTAACCTTTTATACCAACATATATAAAAATGCTTGATTTTTGAGTTCAATAAAATGATAAGAGAACTTAAAACTATATGTTTATACTTCAGTCCATTTGTATGTTGATAATAAAATGTTAATATTTTCTTATATTGCAATAAATCAGAATTGCTAACTGACGTTAACTTTGTTCGTATTGCAAACAAAGGAGCTGAAATATCTTCGTCTATTTTATAACATTGTCTAAGAAATGTCGTCAAAATAGCTGTAGGTTTATCATAATCAATATCAGTGTGTTGTAGTAACAAATCTATTGCTTTTGGTAATATTTCTGTCACTAAAATAAGTATTACATTTTTTACTAAACAACTTCATAAAATTTAATTCAATTCAATAATAGCGAAAACAAGGAAACTAAAGGTAGTTGTTTCCTCTTAAAATAATTATTTAGTATAACTTGTATATGATGCAAATACATGTATATAAATAATTAATAAATGATGGCAACCCTCATCATTGAATTTTTTCAAAATATTATTTATGGTAACCGTCGATTATTTAAGGGCACAAAAAATTTAGCCAATAACAAATAAATTGGTAATACTTAAATTTTATTAGTTACATAATATTAGTTTTACAATTCTATTAATTATCGTTAGTTAATTAGGAAAAATGTTAATACTTTTTAATTATACGAAATGTGAGGCGACAATATAATTTTAAAAATTAAAATTATTTTAATTTACACAAATTTCAAAATTAAATTGGATAATAAATAATAGTTTAGAAATATTGGTAAATCAATTTAGAGCTGAACAGAGACCATCAGTTTAAAATTACCATTTATTACATCTTTTTCATATTCGTTTTGATCAAAGTTGTACAATCTAATACCACAGACAATTCGTGAAAATTCGTTCAATTGGTTTTCCTTTGAGACGGTTGATAAATTTTCAAAATTCAGTACATCGCTCTGTTTAAATACAATATCTAACGCATCTGTTTGACGAAAAAGCTGTTAATTTATTTGATCACGTAATGTTAAATGTTATTTATAGGTTTTTAAGTTGTACACTTCTAGTACCTGAAGTAGCTTGAACGCATTCCGTTGATAATGGATTGCCCATATAATTAATTAATATTATATACCGTATTACACGATGATAAAGAGCATCAATCTCATCTTGTGTTGTACTAACCGAATCCATAATTTCTTCTATCAAAGGTTTAATTTTTTCATTACAGTCTCGGCGTACGTCATCGATCACGTGATCTATTTTTACAAACCGTATTAGTCGTTATGTATGCTATATAAAAATATTAAAACTATTGCATACCTTTGTTTTGATATTTATTTTCAATAAGAATTTGTGATTTCACACACAAAACACCGGCATCATCTTGTACGCAGAGAATATTAACGCACTGATCAACAATTCGAACAGTTTTGTTGTCAGTTGGATTCTGATATAATTCGGTATTTATATAAGGATTTATTAATGCACTATAATACTGTAAGACATATTTTATATAAGTGAATAGAAGTTACAAAAAAATAAACGTTTAGGTAATATTATTTTCGACGGGTAACCTTCAATATTGTTGAATAATGATTTTTTTTCGATACTGCAAAGTTCGTTTTAAGTTTCTGTTATTAAATACTCGTCCATTTATTCATGTGGCGTATCTCACTGTTTCAACTCACCAAATATTATTAATTAAATTACTTTTAGATCCGAGGGGAAAATTGGGGTTTATGATTTTAGCGTTTCGGTATATCGACAGTAGGTATTCAGTGAACATAGCACATCATACTGTTTTCACTGAATACTTATTGCCACGGTCCGAAATTACTCCCAAATCAGGGCCGGTACCAGCGGTGTACGAGGCTTCGCGCTTTTTAGCCCCTCATCATTCATGGCTGAAAACGAGCTTCAATGCAACGCTCAAAATAATAAATATACAAATTATTGAGAGACAGATTGAAATTTTCACATGACTATAATTACACAATAACTCACGTATGTAGAAGCCAGTTGTTTAGAAACTTGTACATCGCGTTTGGCACAGCCTTTTATCACTTTTAAAATTTGTTTTTCTTCTCTTGTTTGCATATTTTACCAGTTTTTTTTTATTACATTGAAAGTATTAAAAATGAATTTATCTGTTTCGCGAAGTAGAAAATGGTGTGCTTGATCAACAAGCTAACCTATCCCCATAGCAACGCATAATTCCCAACAGTATACAAAAGAAGAAATAAATACATACATCGATTTTGAGTCATTTGTATAGTGTTTTAACGTGTTCCGAGAACACTTCATTGAGTGTTATGTATTTTTCTATTGCTCCAACATGCTAAAAGTAAAATAAGATTGATAGACTGAAAAAAAATATTGGTTTGTAAAAATGGTGAGTAACCTATTCAAAAGTCATTAGCACTAGCTATTAAAAATCGGTTGGGTACCAAATTAATACGGGATACTTTTATTGATATTATTAATTTAAAAATGAATCCAATTTCACAGGGCTTGCTTTCCATGCTCAAACGTTTACGATCGTCACCGGAAAAAGAACTTCGTATTTTGTTGCTTGGCTTGGACAACGCCGGAAAGACAACGCTCATGAAGAAGCTAGCCTCAGAAGACGTTTCACACATAACACCCACTCAAGGTTTTAATATAAAATCCGTACAAGCAGACGGTATGAAGTTAAACGTATGGGATATTGGGGGTCAAAGAAAGATTCGACCTTATTGGCGCAATTATTTTGAATTCACCGACATTTTAGTAAGTGTGTATTGTGTGTTAAAACTTTAACATAGAATTTTAAGTTATTAGTTAATTGGTGTAAATGTGAACTAGCTGTGACTGCATGCACAGCTAACACAAATTGCAGGTAATATATTTTTCAAAACTTTTGAAGTTATCAGTTAATTAGTATGTTTTTGTTTGTTATAGATTTATGTCGTGGATAGCGCTGATAGAAAACGCGTAGACGAAACGGGATTTGAACTTAATGAGTTATTGAGCGATGATAAATTAGCTGGCGTGCCTGTTTTGGTGTTTGCCAATAAACAAGATTTAGCTTTGGCAGCTAAAGCGTCTGATATAGCTCAAGAACTGAACTTGCATCTGATACGGGATAGACCGTGGCAAATTCAGGCCTGTTCGGGTATCCGCGGTGAAGGAATCAAAGTAAATAACATTTCTACTCATATACATATTTAAATCATATTACGTGTGTATACTTTTTTAAGGAAGGACTAGAGTGGATAAGCCAAAACGTGAAGAAGAAATAAATAAACATTCATAAATATTCATAAACTAAATAATAGTAAAATCGTTATATATTTACAATTATGTATAATTATTAGTTTAGAACTATAACATAAATCGTTACCGTTAAATTTTGTATATCTAATCGACATTTTTGGTAAACTTTTAAAATAAAAACTGTGTTTTGCATGATACATTTTATACTTTTATAAAATTACTTTTCTACGCAATTTGAAGGATTAGATCGCATGATATCAAAAAATGTGTTTACCACAATTCCATCGTTTCAAAATAATAACACTGCTTTTTAAAACGAATTTCGCTGTTCAAAAAATTTAATAAAACTGTTATACTTCGATAAGATGTTAACTCGTGTGTCGTACTATTAATTCGTTCAGTTGTAAAGGGCTTACTTGATCAATTAGCTAATAGAAAAAAAAAAAGTATATGCATCGTAGTACAACTGTACCACTCAATTGATTTTGGTGATCTTATAATGAGTAATAAAAAAAGAACGATGGTCTAATTACATAGATAAATAGTATAGAAATGTTTACACTAATAAAATTTAATATAATGCGTTTTCTAATCTCACAATATTCTTAGTCAAAAAGTAATGGTATACACTTAAAATTAAATATTTTTACTGGATTGATGTTATCCAAATGCACTACCCAACGTACCTTTGGTATACAAACGAAATTTGGTAGTACAAAAAAAATTAGTTAACCGACTATTATAAATATAGCTATTTGCCGTAAAACAATTATGGAACTGCTATTTCACTAAAAATAAAACGTGTTTCAGACAAAGATAAAACTTATGTAGAGGGTCATTTGTCAATAGTATCTTAGATTAGGTATAAATACCCGAGAAACCTAGTGTACACCCCGTTTATAATTTTAATTTATAGATATAAATGAAAAATAATTCGTTAAAACTCGAAACTGATTTACAGCCTTCAAATATGTGTTGTGTGTTTTTAATTGTATTAAAGTTCGTTGTGGAAGTATTCGGTAGTCGCTCTCAAGTCTTCTTCGTGGAATTCTTGGCAGTTGGCTGGATACTTGACCTAAAAAATCGCCAATGTTTATTACACACATCGTACTTCCAAATTAACAAAAATATGAGTACATTTAAATGAAGGTCATTGTAATTGAAAATAAAAAAAATGTTTTTGGGTTGAATACGTTTTAAAACTTACCGCACAATTGTGGTCTTCTGTAGCTGCATTGTAGAGTTTCCAGAACGGAGTTCCCGTTCTACCGGATAGGAACCAAGATGCGATCAAACTGTAAAAATAATTACAATAATTTGTTACCTTTTATGTCATTAAACATTTTAAAGAATTATGTGGCAATCGGACATTTATAAAACTATTATTAAAAAATTACCTGGACAATTTAGTGACTCCTGGTTTCAGCCCCGTTTTGCTGTTGGGATATTGTCCTTTGCGGTTAATACTGCATACTAGGTAACGGTCACAATCTGTTTTCTTTGACGCGAATCTGTACACTCTCCAAACTCTTAGTACAGGATCGATGATTTCGTGGTTTAAGAGCTCTGACAGTTTGTCTTCAATTTCCTTGGAAGTCAAGTGGTGAAGACTAAAACCTTTGCTTTGTCCCAAACGGAAAACGTCCTACCACAAAATTGTTTTTAGTCATGATAAAATGAACTGTGTTGAGTTAAAATAACATTTTTGTTCAAACCTGTATGTAAGCGATAGCTGGTTTAATGTATGTGGCTGAATTGATTTTCAAACCGAATTGCCTTTTGAAAACGGCGTCGGCCAGAAAACTAAGTGACTCAGCCGGTCTTGTTTGATCGAATTGAGCCGCTTTAGCATAACCTTGTGATTTCAAAAAACCGTTCATGATGAACTGGGTAGTCGACAAATACCTGTAAAAAATGTTATCTCGTTAATGGAAGTCTGCCAATGTATATTTCCCTTAACGTGTATTTTTGTTGTGGTCATATCGCAAAGGCATCGCAGTGTTACTATTGAATTGATTTTTTACCATTCTTCGTCACTAGACAGACGCCGGGCACAGACGACCCGTAGAGAGTTTACATGTAACCTTATATTTCATTTACATTGCTTTTAAATGTTTCCAATAAACGAAAGAATGTCGTGATGATTACCTTTTTCAGAGTAAACACGAGTTAGTTTATTATTACGAATTGTAATTGTATGGTAAGTATCAAAATTAGTCGAGTTTCTATTTAAGTATTTAATATGATTCAAAGAATATATTAGGCAATATAATTATCTATTAAGACCTCTTTTAGATATTTGCACTCTGGGATAACATTTTTTTTTGCTGACCCATCTGACCCCAGTTGTTGACAAGGACGACAGTTTTTAAAAAAAAAAATTGTGCTCCAAAAATGATTTGCTGACATATCAAATATTACACAAAATTTAATATCCTTTTCTAACGTGCTGTTAAAATTAATTGTTTTAAACTATTCATGTAAACTCATAAGATTTTTATCATAGAAATATAATTTATGATAATGATATAATTAAACAATTAAAACCGATTAACGAATGACTTCTACTCCTGTGTTCAACGAGTATAATTATCTAAACATTCTTTAGACTAAAGACTATTTAATTCATTCTAAAATTTGGTTTGTTGGTTAATACAAAAGAATCAATCGAATAATTTTTACTCATTACGAATGTACACTGAATTGATGTGGTAATGGTAAAAAATAAAATACCAAGTTCAATTGGTATTGCACTAAAATATACATCTAATTTGAATTTGTTCATAGAAAATTATAGTAATTACTATGGAAATGTATTTGACGCAACAAAAATTAGCATTAGTCAATTACAAATAATGTAAAATAAATAATTAGAGCGCGTTAAAGTCTACGATTTTTTAAGTAAAATAGAGTAACTTTAAAAAATCCGCACAAACACGGCTGTTTTCAAGTTTTTATTATTTTTATTAATAATATATTGCCCGAGAAAAAAACTTTTAATCATTTTTAGCAAGGAACTCAACAGTGGAGTCGAATTCTTTGTAAAAAAAAAAGCTGAAATATGTTAACACTATTATTTATTAACTTGATAGAATTATTTATTCAATACGGTTTTATAAATATTAAAATGTTACTACACATAATTTTCGTTATATGCAAATAAATTCGTATAATTCAAATTCGTTTACGGTATTTTGACCTTGATTTTGTTAATATATTTTTTTGTCTTTGGATCGACTAGATAACTGTAGATTGTGTAGTTTTTATATTTTTACAGACATTTTAAGTTGGAAGTACGATTTTTATAAAAAGAAGAACTACCGAGAAATGTATGAACTATCAAAATAATATCAGTTATGAGATCACAGTTGAAGCTATTGACTATATTTTAATTAAAACGTAGTAATATGTTAATAATTAAATGTAATTATTAAATTAATAGTTATTAGCTCGTGTCTAAACAACGTTGGGCAACGTTATGATTAAACGAATACATTTTATTAGTTAAACATTTCAAATGTTTTAATTAAAATAAAACAACCGACAGACATTTTACACCATCGTGTAAATAATCAGTATTCATATCTCAAGCAGTGACGAACCGCATACCGCCACGCGTCTTGTACTTCTTTTGGATGTATTTCTATCATAATAATAATCGAAAAAAATTGTTGTTACGGCGGTGGGCAACGAACTCTGAGGAAAACCAGTTATGTGTTGTCGGAAGGCGTGTGTGTGTGTAGCGCACGTATTTATATCATAAGTAATGACGTATTGTGTGTGTTTACCTGGCTTGCGTGCTCGGGTCGGAAACGTGTTTAATCCATTCGGCGACGAAGCTGGTCAAGCTCCTGACCCACCGGCGTCTGAACGTGGCGTTTTCGAGCGATTCGAAGATCTTGTCCACTTGGAAGTGTCCGTCCCTGTCGATGAACAACTGAAGGATGCTGCCCAGGCCGCTGTTTTTCCACAAGGTGGTGCCCAGTTCACTGTTCCTGAAGTGCTCCCAGTACACGTACGCGCTACTCAGGAACGGCGGCAAGAACGACGAGGCGCGGGCGTGACGGTCGTGCTCTTCTTGATTTTCTACATCGGGGTCTTCCGAGTGCTGGTGGCCACCGCTAAAGGCATTCACCAGGGCCGGCAGCATGTGCATGAAGCCCTCCATAGTCGAGCCTTGTCCGCCCGAGTTGGCTGACATGAATCCTGTAAACACATAAACCACGTGTTAAATAAAATAATTATTTCGTGGAAATTATAGAGATTCTTGGCGGAATGTGTAAAATTGTTCGGGAACGTTTAAATTTGCAAAAGGAATAATAATATTAATAAACACTTACAGTGTCGTTTTCATATCGATTGTTCACTTTCAGTCTTAAACGTTTGTATTAATTAACTCTTAAGAACGATTAATTTATATCGGGCAAATAATGTCGAAATGTAGTTAATAATTTCAGTTGTCGCGTCATGGTTTTTACGGGTCACGAGAAATCACAAGGAATTCTGAGTCATTTAATGCAGGTAGTTAAGTAATTCCTGTGGTCTCTTTTATGGAAAATACTTACCTTATAAATGAATCGTTTACATTTTTAAGTAGGAAATCATAGGTTATAAATATAATACTTGAATACGACGAATAACTGTAAGTACTTCGAGGTCCGCTGCTAGATTATTTACAACGTGTGTACAGTATTAGTATGTAATAATTATATTTAACAGCTGTAAAAACGATCACGGTTCGTTGACGTCAGTTAGGCGAAAAACGAGCAAAAATACTGTTGCGTGATTGACCACTTTGTAACGAAAAAAAACGGCTGTACCGTTACAACGTCATAAAATACACACATGTCACCTAAAATGGTTCTCGAATCGAAAAGTATTTTAATACCGATACGGGTCAAACGATTTTCTCACTCAAAGTATTGTAATTTTACAATGAAAATATTTATAGTTTACCGGACGCCAGATCGATCATGGAATTCCAGTCCAATCCTGGCGCGCTGTCTTGGTTGGAGTCGCCTGACTTGTCCGAGGCGGCGCCAGCGAACATGCTGACCAGTTGACCAATGACCTGTGGGTCCACCGATCCCTTAGCGGCCGCCAGTCCGGAGACTATGGATCCCAGGCCGGATTTAGCGCCATCCGATTGCATGAACGACTGCAAAACGGTGCCGAGACCCTGACCCAGACCGGCCTGACCACCTTGACCGCCAGCCAACGAATCCTGTAACAGCGATTTCGCTGCTTCTAGGAATGGATTTTCCTCGTCGTCGACCGAGTTGGACTCGTGTAGGGAAGGGTACGTGGACTCGGCCAAGAACACCAGTAACATCACGTTCAACGTGAACCGTAACATTTTTAATCGGTTAGCGATCGAGATAATTAATAAAAATAAAAAAAAATTAAAAAAGACCGAGCAATGTTACAATTGATTTACGAACTGTGTAATTCTTTTTGGTGTTGAAACACTTTTCACATATTATTAAACGACAAACCGTCAATTTCTTAAGAGGAACGCCAACACTTATTGCGGACTGGACGTGAAGAAGGAATGATTCGTTGCCGGAACAACCGAACAGGTCTTCGGTTCGACCGAAAGGAAGGCGGAGTGGTACTGAAACGAGTGAGGAGAGGGGGCTGACATAGCGGTACTCTCAATGACGTGGCCCGACCCGACGGGCAAAGGCAGTGGACCGCGCGTAAACCTGTTATGGTAGGGCCATTGACATACCTGGTGGAGTTCGTCCAGATCATAGAGGAACGACTACCGCATTACTTGGCTGAGATAATAATAAGAGGACAGGAACAACATTTAAACATTTTCGTATACATTTTAGTTGGCCCAATCGGTTAAGATAGTGTAGTTTAATGTGTTATAATTTCGACGAAAAAGAACAAAAGATATAATAATGCAATACTTAAGTTACGATAAAAGTAAAAAGGAAGAAGATAGTCGAGGCAACTGATGCGTATCTCGTCTTAAAAATGAACTGTAATTGAATAACTATAATAATATAATATATTGATTATTATTGTAATAATTATTAATAGTTTTTGGAACGATTAATTTTATCACATAATTGGCTTGTCAATAAATATGTAAAAATGAAGACGATAGTATTTGTTTCGGGGGCGTCATTTGCGGGGGGTGGGGGGGGGGGTCAAAGTGTGCGGTTGCAACCTTGCTTTAAAAACAGTCCCAATTGACCTGCAAAAATAATGCATCAATTATTTATACTTCAATTCAAATTTCAAAAACAATGTATTATCATGACTACATGATAATACATGTACATGGGTCAATAAACAAATATTCTGTTAACAATTGAGTAAACAATAAATATATTATACTGAACTATGATATTCGTACCGGACACAAGATATTGATATTGATGTTCGTAACAATTTTTATCACGACTTCTTTAAAAAAAATTAAATTCATTGTAAAATTAAGCAAAGTTATTCTTTTGAATAAGATGATGAAATTAATTTATTCAAATAATTCATATATGCGTGAATAAAATAAAAATTTATTAAAGTTATATTATTCTTTTTAGAATTTACGCTATTCAGTAAAATGCACAGATTTTATGTATTTATTACAAATAAATATTTATATTACAATTAATAGTAATCTCTGCATCAATTATAAAAATTTCAAAATATTCTTAATGTCTATAATTTTATGATCATTAGAAGTGTATTTTCATATTGTTTATTTGTATTTTAATTTATTTAATTAATCATATGAAAAATATTAATAATTTCCAATTTTTTAATTGTATTTAATATAATAAAATCTTAAGTTTAATCTTAAAAGTATTCTATACACATACAATTTGTTATTTTTATAGTTTAAAAATTTTATGTCGCTATACTATTGTATAGTTATAATTAATTTTAAGATCTCATCAACTTTAATGCAAACACTGCTTGAAGAAGGTGTGTATATTAATGTTAACAATTGCTTCTTTAATATTTTAAAATTTTTAATTTGATGTTTTGCGAACAAATAAATTAAGTAACGTCGTATATTATTTCAATCACATCTAAAACACATTATCGAGATTATACTCATTTAGATAAGATGCAAAAATTTAAACAAATTAAATTAAATGTTATTTTATTATTATTATATTAGTATTATGACTAATAACATGTTATCGTATATTAAGTAAAAATAATTATAAATAAATGTGTACGCTTCGTGTAAATATGCCCTTGAAACTAAATTAAATGGATGCGTCAATTATTTTTTGTTTACTTAAAAATTATTTTACTTCAGGTCATTGAACGATCATATTGAATAATCTTCCTGTAAAAATTAACTGGTAATAGAAGAAAATAAACAAAAATTGACGTTGTCGAGTTAAACATTCAAGTGATCTTTATAGGAAGTATATTAATAAATTACACGGAGTAGCCGATTAAAAAATTGATATTACTGAATAAAAAAATACCTATGAAATCCTCTTCAACTAAAAAATGCAAAGTTTAAATTTTACATTATATGACAGGTGTAACAAAATAATCATTCCAATATTTCAAGGCCAACTTAAGTCACCAAATTATTAAACCATAAAACACTTCGAAACGAAACTAGTGATCCGATTAAAATTAAACTTAACTGTTATATTTTTGTGCTAGATTTAAATACACATATATTACGGTTTTTATTTTAAACAATTATCTATTATAATTTATTACTATAGAAACAGACGAGTTTATTTTTTTTATAAAAATTAATGAAATGACAGTGCTCGTTTTAATTAATAGCATTGTGCTAGTAAATTGATTGAGCTTCTATAATAACATTATATTAATATTTTCGTTAGATTTCTTAAAATAAATAAAATTAGAGTTTTTCTTTTGTTTTGGTTTAGTATTATTTATTTTCGCTTTATATGTGGTTAAATTTTACAGTATAATCCTTATCTCTTACAAAGGAAACTATGGAAACTAGGAAACTATTATTTTTAATGGAAATATATAATTAACTAGTTTATTTAATAGAAATTACAAAAAGGACTGGTTGATAACCACTTTTGAACCAACACTTCTGAAGTTTTTTAATATTTTAAAATATAGAATGAAGGTGAGGTGTATATTATGTTATTTTTATTAGATGTTCAAATGCTCGGCTTTTACATGAAAAAACGGGGTATTCGAACATTACAAAATTCAGGCAATATTTTTTTATACTTGACGTTAATCTGGTACTCGGTTTGACATACATTTACTACCCTTTACATTTTTAATTTTCATCACTACATATCACTCTGTACCCTCCACCTACCTCAAAAAATATTCAGTAATATATAAAAATAATAAAAACATTTATAATTTCAAAAATATTGGTTCAAAAGTTGTTAGTACTTAAATAAGTAAAATATGCATGTTGCCATTAAAAAATTAGTATCTTAAAAAAGTTAGTATCTTTATAAAGGGTGGATATAAAAATATTTTACCACTATATAACGAATTGAGATATAAATACTTCCAAGTGATAAATAAAAAATCTTTATATCATTATTATTATTTTATGAGAAATCAATCATCCTTTTATACTTATTGGAACAGTTCTAACGGATAACTCTATTAACTTTTGATCCAACAATAACAATTTCTCTATAATTATCATTAGATAAGTTTACATAGCATACTTTTTTTGTAGAAAACATTATTTGTTTTTATTATCTCATTTCATTTTGTACTTATTTATGGCAATATGGAAATACTTGTAATAAAATACAATTATTAATAATTTATACTATATAATTTCTATACATTTTTATTTGAGTAATTCTCGTAACCTATTAAAAATTTTTAATTTCTAATTCTATTATGTTTTTAAGTTAAATTTTTCTTATTAACCGATCAATGATTCTGATATTGATCAATTATTCAATTTTATTTATTAAAAATTAGATATTGAAACTGTTTTCATTACGTTATGATAACCATAAACGATTAAACTAAAAAAAAAACGTGTAAGATTTAATAAAAATATATAATAACCGTAAAAAACACATAACATCAAACGAAAAAAAAAACCAAACATAACTAAAAATGAATTAAAACATTTACAAAACTAAACAGAAAAAGATAATATATTGATGATTTGTTATTACTAAAAATGAATTTGTACTTGGGGAAAATATAACTACGAGCAAGTTAGTGTTTCTCAATATAAAACTACAAGGGAAATTCATACATGCAAAGAATGACTGATTAATTACTAATAAGGTAAAAAAATTATATATAACATTTGAATACAGAAAAATATAAAACATTTTAATTATTTGAAACGTATAACGCAATTATGTTGTTCATTTTTTTATTGTCATAACATAAAAACAATTAATTTTGATTGTCCTTTTTAAAATTGTTAAAAATGTTATTATTAAATAAAGAGTTCACTAATTTATTTATCAATTGAATATAAATAAATTTTTATCAGTTTTTAGTAGTATAATTTTTTAGATATATTTTCTAAACTGCCGCGAGTGCGAGTAACAACAATCAAATTGTACAATGTAAATATGACATGGATTTAAATTTTTGTGTGGTTATAAATTGTAAATATATTTCATGTTAAAATTTTAAAATTAAAATTTAATATTATTATTTCATTGTAACGGAAAACAAATTATATATACTACAATACATAAGGTATAATTATATAAACAGATCAATGTTTTTGGTCTTTACTAATAGTTCATTGAACCCAAAAACCGCTTAAAAATCAAAATTATTACACCTTGATACACCAATATTAAATTCTAATGCAATCTATGTTAGTTAAATAAGTTATTTAAAGTATAGTCAGAAAAATCACATATTAACCATTTAAATTAAGGCTAAATTACACCTCGGTAATATTAGTACCATAATAAGTACAATATATTGCAAGGATTTATTATTTCATTATTTCTTGCAAATAATTAATTTATAAAAAAATACTGAACATATTAAAAATAACAATTAAATGGTCATTTTTTGTATGGTAACAAAAATTAAAAAATAATTTTATTTTTTTTTAAATAATTATACAAAAATAAATGTTAAATTTGTCTTCTTAACATAATTTATTTAACTTCGATTCGAAGCTGAGAAGATATTTATTTTACTATGATGTATTTTTTTTTCTTCTCTTTTTGTGTCTGTTACCACTTTTTCTCAGTTCTCAAAGAACCGATATATTTTATCGATACGTCAAAAGATCAAAAACCGTTTCTAGTTTAAGAAATTGCCTTTAAAAGATGGAAAATATTCCCTCGTTCCCTGCATATGGAGAAAATACCCCAAAAAATTACAATTTTTTAAATTGTTAAATTTTGACATTTTTTTTTTAACTGCCATAACTTTTTGAAAAATAGTTGAATAGAAACAATTTTTTTTTTATAGATTTTATAGATCAAAATAATAACTTTTCCACAAAAATTGGAAGTGTTTCGGAAATACTGACACTTTTATAATATCTGAAATTAAAGCGTATGTAATATACTTTATTATGAAAAAAAAAATTCGGACTTTATTTTGTTTTCATGGTGAAAACTGTCATTAAAGTTAATAAAAAAAATACGATTTTTGTAAAAAAATTCATTTTTATATTTTTAACTTTATAATGCTATACATTTTTGAAAAATGTATGGATCATTACAGTTTTTTGTTAAGATAAGTACTATTTATATTCTTTTTTTATGCAACATACTTTTTTTTGTAAAAAAAATTGAACTCTGGACTTGTCTTTATAGTAGAACTGGTTACCGTATTCAAAAATATTTTATTTTAAAATAAATTACAAATATCTTTGATTTAGAAAAAAAATTGTTTAACTCATTTGATTTTTATCTAATTTAGATTCAATTACTTCAATGAATATCAGGGACCCCATCACTGTAATGTGAAGAAAGTTCTTATTCATATTAAAATTATTGATCACGATTCTTGATATTAACTATCACAACTCGTACCAAGTTAAAGATATTACTCTCATAAATTGAAAAAAAAATCCCATTTTATCAAAGAAAAAGATGCTTAAATAGTTTTCTCCATACTAAAATGATAATAAGTTTCAACTACAACAAATAAGTTAAATACAGTTAAATAGAGTTAAATAATTAACTCAAATACAGTTAAAATAAGTTTGAACTATACTTTTGGAGTTATTTTTTTTTTATATTTATAGTAACTAAATTTATAAAAACAGTTTTTTAAGTTCATGTTGTTCACTCTGTTACAATTATAAATAAATATAAATTGAAATTAGAAAAAATTATATATTAATAATTTTTTTTGTTATTAATTAGATTTAATGAGACTTAAATAGAAATATAACATAATGGCGCCGTGTTTTATACCGTACTAATTCGTATATTTATTGCCTATTCAAGTCGCCTTATTTATAATAAATTTTAGTAACTTACTTTTTGTATTAATATATAAATTGTGTATTTTTAGTTATGTATTCATAGTTGAGTAAATAAATGATAGATATTTACGATAGTAAATAAACTATATTAAATAAAGAAGTATAAATATATTTAATATATGAACGTTTTCATAATTAAAAAAACATATTTATGATATCTTTAATGTATTTACTAAAAGTCTGCTAATTAAATATTTCAGTTATACAAATGTTATGCATGTCATATATTTTAATAGTTATAATGGTGAACTAATGTAATATTAATATTACTTTTGATATTTTATCATGTAATTAAAAAATAACAATTATATTATTTATAATTGTATGTACGACTTTTATCATTGATTAAGTTATTTTATTAATTAAGTCATATTCAAACCTAAATATTATTTAACTCTCTTATAGTAATTTATCTAAATATTCATTATTAATTAGCTTATATTTTATATTTTGTAGATACCCGCATGCTCACTAAATAGTATACGCATACAAAGAGTTAAGTGACAAATATCCGAAGGTTTTACACTTTTTATATAATTTTAACTATCGGATTTATATCATATAATCAGATGGCTTTAGTTATAAAATAACATTATTCAAATCAGGAATCTATGGAACTTGAGAGGCATAAGCCCCTCCCTCCCAAAAATTAATATTTATCATGATATTATGAAAAAAATTCTAAACTTCAAATATAGACTAATATAATCAAATAAGATTTGAGTCTTTTTGAAACTTATATTTTATTTATTATATTTGAGAAATTAGACTTCATAAATATTATACTATAAATTTTATATTATGGCCATTTGTACTTTAACTTAATAATGGAAATGATTAAATGTCGATTTTTAAAGAATTGGATGTTAGCTTTGATACGAATTTTACTATGATTATTATTTTTTTTTTTTTTTGTTTCTATAACTACTTTTTCTCAACTCATACTGGAACTCGACATACGTCAGAAAATCACAATGCATATTTAATTGAAAACAGTACCCTTAAAAATTAAAAAATGTTCTCTCGTTCCCCGTAAATGGTAAAAATTGCCCAAAAAATTACGATTTTTAAAATCGGTAAATTTCAACATTTTTTTCTAAAAACTGCCATAAATTATTGAAAAATGAATGAATCAAAATAATTTGTTTGAAATTCTTTCCTGCACACCATAAAACCCAAAAATACACAAAAATAGCATATTTTTGAGTACGGTAGCCTTTTGCGCATAGAAGATCGTCCCGACGAATTTTTTTTTTTTAATTTTATAGTACATAACATAAGCTTTAATTTTATATGTGTTGAAAGGACGCAGTATTTCCGGAACATTTTCAAAAATTAAGTTGAAAAAGTTAGTTTTTGTAAAAAAGTTGCTATTTTAAATCCCCCCCAGAGAGCAGATTAAGTGTTAGATTTTCAAAAAAATGATATCAAATGAAAGTTAAATATCTAAGGTTTTAGTATAAAAAAAAATTATGATGATTTGTTGATTTTTGAAAAGTTATGGCAGTTTTAAGAAAAAAAAGTGAAAAAAATGACAAAATTTACCGATTTTTAAATTTGTAATTTTTTTGGAGATCCCCCTCATTTGCGGGAAACGAGAAAAAAATTTTTTAAGGGTAATGTCTTCAACTAGATACAATTTGTTGAAATTTGACGTATTGTTGAAAGAAATCGACATACATAAAAAAAAAACACATCATGGTAAAATTAATACCTTCTCAGCTTCGCATCGAAACTAAAAAATTTTTTTTCAAGTTATTATTGATTTTTTATATATTAAAAATAATCCGTTCAAAATGACATTTTTTTGATCCTTTAAAGTTGATTTGTATGAAAGTTTATAATTACAAAATTTTGAACTAATAATGTTAAAACATAATTTTAGCTCAGTTTGCAAATTTAAAATTTGTATCATTAAATAGAAAATTTCATGAGAAATAAATTATTCTATTTTTTAGATTGATATGTGATTAGAAACTTATATAATTACTGTTAACAGGAAAACTCAAAATTTCGTTAAAATCACTATTTTTTTTTTTTGTGTTTTTATTTTAATAAATTATTTGAATAGAAATCTTAGTAATCATTTCTATATAATTCTAGATGTTTAAATATTTATTTATATTGATATTCTGCTTGTGACGTATATTTTTAATTAAAATATATTGATTGATTGATTATCCATATGTAATCTCATAATCAAACATACATATTTGTTATATTAATTAGAAAGATTATGTTATTATTTAGTTTATATGCAAAACTCTAATTGCAGATTTGAAATCGGTGCAAAAATGGGTTTTGTGGCTACAGTGTCATACCGTTTTTTAACTTTATATTGCCATAACTTTTTGAAAAATGTATAGATCAATAGAAATTTTTTTTAATAAAACTTCTTATATATACCTTTATATATCCCTTTATTTTGACATTTTTTTTTTTTTTTTGAATCAGATAATTTCCGTCTATACAAGGGGTGTTAAAACTTTAAACACGAGAATAGAAACTTGAACTTTTTTAATTTAATTTTTGAAATGTTCCGGAAATTATATTTAGAATCATTTCTACTGAGAAAACTTTAATACTACCTTTTAACTATATTAAAATATATGTATTTTGATATATTAATATCAAATAGTGTACTTAAACGTGCCATAATCCTTGAAATTGTTCACCACTAATATCTCTACTTAACGGTAATGTATCCTCAAGCTAATTAACACACGGTGTAGAAAATGAATTCGCTTTTTTAGTATAATTCATTTTGTCTAATAAAGGTTCTGTATGAAAACAACTTACAATGGTGCATAATACAATAATGATCAGTTGCGTCTTTCAGCAACCTTGGAGTGCACACACCACAGGAAAACCTTTTATTCAATAACTTTAGAATGTGGTTTGGGTAAAAATATATTCTATTATCTAGGACATAACAATTATTATAAAAAATTCGGTAACTACCGTATATTTTTATAACGTTTATTTTAAATTTGACAATCAGTATTCATAACAATAAAGATAACTGCTCACAGTTACTACCAGTAAGTAAGCAATATCATCAACGTAACACCAAAACGCTTCTCAATGACACTGTAGATTAATAGGCCAAGACATAATAGTACCCTCTCCAAAACGCTCATTTCTAGGTGAAGGTGTATAAAAACAAAATGATTCGCATCATTTCGATTTTTTACTTCTAAAGTTACTCGACGAGTTAAACATGACCGCAGATATTAAGTATACGGATGTGGATAGTCAAGTATCGGACATCCTAAAGAAGTGTTTCGTTACAAGCTTCCGAAACGGATACCTTAAAGCTAATGACGTCGTTTTGCCCGTTTACTTTCAAAAGTTTGGTCAGCGTATACTTGATATGGATATAAGAGATGATGACATATGGGTTTGCAGCTTTCCCAAAACAGGTCAACGCAAACTTATATTTATTTATTTTGTCATTAATTGGATGAGACAACATACAAACAAATTTCACGTTAAAAGAAATTTTATCAAGGCATAACAAATGTATTTCACAAATATTGAATTATACCTTTTATGACAGATATTTAAAAATTTGAAATATTTACTGATCATTTATATTGATTAAAATTTCTAAATTTAATATAAGAATTATTCTTAAAATATTTTAAATTAAAATTTCAATTAAATTTAATAAAAAGATATCATAAAACTAAAATTTCAATGTGATATTTGATATCATACTAATATATAATTTTATATCATCAGTATATGAATATTTTATAGGAGTTTTCATCGGTTTTCATAAAAATGTATATGTATTTATGAACGAATACATGACTTGAAGTTAATTTCTGTTGTCAATGTCATTTAGTGTATTTTATGTAGGTCGTGTGACAAAAATTGATAGCAGTTGCAAGATACTACGTAGATAATTATGATTAACGTATTATGAAAAAAAAAAACTACATTCTATTGTTATCATGCTGGGCATTGCAAAACAAAATCTCTAGATTGTTGTTCAAGTAGTATAGAATATAATACTAATAATAAATTTAATGTGTTTTAGGCACAACATGGACCCAAGAAATGGTATGGTGTATAGCCAATGATTTAGATTTTGAAGGAGCAAAACAATTTCTCCCCGAAAGATTTCCATTTTTGGAGTAAGTAGATTTAAACTATCTCTATTTATAAGTTCCAATTGTAAGGTTATCCTAAACATAATTTTTTTATTTAGCCACACTCCGCTTTTTGATTACGAAAAAGTTTTGCCAGAAAAGCCAGATCTTAAACTCCCACTTTATGTATCAGATTCAATTGAATACATTAACCGCATGAAGTCACCAAGGTTTATAAAATCTCACCTTCCTTATAAACTATTACCAACAAAACTTAGAACTCAATCTACCAAAGCAAAAGTAAGTGAAATTATGTACATAATAATAATTATATACAATGCTATTATTTCTTTATAATCACAAATAAATACATAATAATTCACACACATTTGTTAAAATATGTTTATGTTTGATTTTGATTTTGATTTTGACAAGTAACTTTTAAATAATACTTTATTTTTCTTAATGTTGAATGGTACCATAACATACCTTACAAAGATAATTATTTTCATTTTACAGATTATCAATGAAATCCACAGAACTTTAACTGGATTTAAAAGTTATTTTACTAATACTGAACCTTAAATTAACGATCTAGTTTCCAAAACTAGTAGATTTATTTATTAGTAAAAAAGAAAATTTCAAAACTTTTATAATAGTTACTTAGATTTATTAAAAAAACTGAGCATATATTTGATTTTGAATTTAAAAAACTTAACTATTTAGAGACAAAATATTTAACAATATTTTTCATACATCATAGCCCTTACACTTAATTTTTTTTATTATATTCACCTATATCTGTTAAAGATTCATATTAATGTTATAAAAATTCGCCCTAGCCTCTTTAGTAACAATAATAACATTTTTTTAATAGTATAATTAAGCTAATTAATAATATTACATTTATGTAATATTAATGAGCTACTGAAGCCTATCCAATTTTTAGATTATTTATGTTTCAAGAAATGCCAAAGATACATGTCTTTCCTATTATCATCATTGTCGGTTGTTGGAAGGATACACAGGGAATTTTGGCGATTTTTGTAGACTATTTTTGTCAGACTCGCGTAAGTGTACACAAAAATTACAAAATAATTTATAAATATACAATTTTTTATTCTTTAGTGTGCTTCAGTCCGTTTTTCGAACACATACTAGGATTTTGGAACTGTCGGGATCAAGATAATTTGCTTTTTTTAAAGTACGAAGATATGAAACAGGTAATTTAAATTTAAAATCCATTTATATGAATAATTATGGTCTTTGTAATTTTAATTTTTCATTAATTCCAAAGAAACTCTTTCGTTTCCTTAGGATCTTCGTTCAGTTATTCACCAAACTGCTAAGTTTTTGGGTAAAAATTTAGCCGATGACCAAGTACTTCCATTGGAAGATCATTTGAGTTTTGAAAGTATGAAGAAAAATAGAGCGGTTAATTACGAGCCAGTGGTTGAAATAAATAAAACTTTTAAATTAATCGATGCTGATGGAAGCTTCATGAGGAGTGGTACAGTCGGAGGTGGTAGAGAAAACATGCCACAGGAGTTTCTTAAGTTATTTGATGAGTGGGAAAATAAATGCTTGGAAAAAAGTGGCTTAAAATTTTAATCTTGGTTATTTGTTAATTTTTTTTTAGGTTAAACAAAGTTTAATTAAATATACATATTATAATAAGCACATTTGTTTGTAATTTGATTTTAATACATTTATAACTTTTCGTTAACTACATCAAAAGATAATTAGTTACAAGGATTTTAGTAGTGTACTTTTTATTATAAAAATTGTACTGTTTACTTAATTATAAATGAAAGAATTAAGTGTTTCATAATAAAAAAAATCGTTCTATGAAATCGCATTACATTGTATTATATTATTTATACAAAATTTGCTTTTTAACTTTGAATTATAGCTGAGATGGTTCTAATTTCACCAATATGTCTTTTTTTTAGGCCTACTATGAAAATTCTCAGGTCTCACTGGAATGATTTTGTTGACTTATGTATTAAAAGAACCTGATTTTAATCTAGTGAAAATTATCAGTGCTGTAAATTTGAAAAACACCCTAGATTTTAGAAAATGAAAAAAATATCTCAAAATTACGCTACAGTAAAAAAAGGAATTTTCAATAAAAAATTGTTATAATTCAAATAACAAAAATTAATAAAATTAAAATAATGAATTGGAATTGGGCTGTATATAGTGAGAACCTGATGTTGTGATTCTATCGGGGTTGTACGGTTCAAGGGTTCATAACGACAAAGACAAGTAGATATAAAAATAATAAACGCAGTACCTCTTTGTCTGGTTAGTTTCTAATATCCTATTTAAGAGGCAACAAAACGGCTGAGTCAGTTCACGAATACCAAATAACGTAATTAACCAACCAGTCAAAATTAACACTTTAAGATATTAATTTAATAAATGATCTATTGCATTGTCATCCTTTACTCAAACTTATTAACTCTAAATAATTGGGATAACATAAATTTACTTACTTCTTTTTTTCTTGCAATTTGCTGTGAGATGATTCGACAAATATTCCGATATGTATATCACTTATAGGTATTGGATTTGTACTCTGTCACAAGATAATAAATAGAATAAATAATAATAATAGAAAATTTTACGGGACATCTGCATTACCATAACCAATTAAAGCATTTAAGAATATTTTATATTGAAAAAAATTTTAATGTCTCGACGATATTTTTCTATAAGTTATTTGACATTGAAATGTATTATTTTCTAAAAAAATTAACAGATTCTCATTAAACCGTTTTTTATGATATTAATATTTATCACTGCGAGATTGCATTTATATTTGTCCCAATTGTGGAGTATTTCCCACTTTGCTAGGATTTTTTTTCGTCACTATTAAGATAAAAAATTATGAACCTAGGAAAATATTACTTTTTAAAAAACACGAAGATTCAAATTAAATGTTAATGTATTTTTATACGACTGTACAAAATTTACAATATGAAAATTTGTTATGCTCCTTATATTGTATCATAGGACTAATAATGTTAAATCTAACGTCAAACAAAACAAAAAAAATGGAGCTTTAAATTAATTTTTTTTTTTTATTCCGATTAAAGTCAATCAAAAATTTAACAATAATATCGATATTGATATGATCATAATACAACCATACTAATTATTCAATTACAATATTGTAATTATATTTTTATCAATTTTAATAAATATATAAGACCATACTGAGATTTACAATTTTCTCTTTCAAAAAACATAAACTTATGTATTTATCTAAATAAAAAATTGTCAGTTTATAACAATGTATTAATTATTAAAAGAAAAGTAATATCGAAGTTAGATATCACTTTAATATATAGTTAGATCATTTAATTATTTTACTTAAAATTTTCACAATAGTTCTCCTATGTGTAAAATGAATAACTTAGGTGCTTAACAGTCATATGAAAAATAATAATTTTAACTATTTAAATTATATGTTTGTCTACTTAAATATTTAAGAATGTGTATTTTATAACAAAAATGTAACAATTGATATCAATTTGTGGTATCGATACCACTTAAATAAACATGATATGATCATGTGAAATATTTGTGCATCAATAATATTTAATTTCTTATTCCACATTTTTATACTATGACACTACATATTTTTTACTCAATATTCAAACATTTTTTTATAAAAACATTTAAATGATAGAAAAAATATGTAAATAAAATTTTCATTATTATACGTCGAGGACGAAGCCTGTTAAATGAAAAAAGTCACTAAATATTAAAAAAATTATATTGTTATTTTACAATCTTTTTCAAAATATAAGTCTACTGTAAATTCTTATGAATAATATTTTTTTTTAGCCGATAAATAAGGTTACAAAATGTTTTTATTTATTAGAACTGGAAATATAGTCGATTTTATAATGGCATGTTATTAAAATGTTATCATATTTTAGCTTCGATGCGAAGCTGAGAAGGTATTGGTTTTACTATGATGTGTTTATTATTTTTTTTTTTTGTGTCTGTTACCACTTTTTCTCAGCTCTAACCGAACGGATTTCTTTCAACGATACGTCAAAAGATCACAAATCGTATCTTGTACAAATTTAAAAATCGCTAATTTTCGAAATTTTTTCAATTTTTTTTACTAAAAACTGCCGTAACTTTTTCAAAAATGAACATATGAATATAATTTTTTTTATAGATGCTTGATGTCTTTACCTATCATTTGGTATATATTTTTTGTAAATTTGACCTTTTTTCTACCCACAGGGGGGGATTTAAAATGACAACTTTTTCAACTTAACTTTTGAAAATGTTCCGGAAGGTTTGACACTTTTATATATATCTTAAATTAAAGCTAATGTAATTTAATTCAATTTGAAAAAAAAAAATTTGACCTCTGGACTTGTCTTCAAGGTGAAAACGGCTAACAAATGCTATTTTTGTATGAAAATTTTCGATTTTATAATTTACATTTTTTACTTTAAAGTGCTATAACTTTTTAAAAAATTTATTATTTTATTATTTATATTATATTTAACTGTTTAATGCTATAACTTATTGAAAAGTTTATGGATCCACACAATTTTTTTATGAGAAATAATATTTTTTAATAATCCCTTTTTCATTCGACATACTTTATCTTAATCGAGATATTAATAAGGAACCAGCAGATCAAGTAGCTTTTGGAATAAAACACCANAGAACCAGCAGAAGTAGCTTTTGGAATAAAACACCAATTTTTTTTAAATTAAACACTATCTAAAGATTTGCATCGAAGCGTTTATTTTTGATAGTGATTTTAATCACTGTCAGATATCATT